GTAGGTGTGTACGTACTTGGACAAACTGTTGCAAAATCAATGTCGTGGTTTCCAGCCGGTCGTCTTCGGCCATCTGACTCGCTTCCGTTGCGCCTTCCACCATGTCGTCGCGGTGTTCGATAGCGCTGTGCAGCGCAGACTTGGCGTCGTCGTACTCTTGGCAAGCTGCGCGCAAGTCTTCAGCAGCGGCGCTGGCCCGAGCTATGGCCACGTGAGGAAAGGAAGTTCCGACGATCTAGTACGAGTGACTTACTCTGGGAGGTATTAACGGCGCGCATGCAGTCCTGGTTGGTCGGTTGAGTTGTCAGAGTCGCTTTGTTGGCTTCAACAACACGTTGCCAGTGCATGTGATCTTCGATGGCCTTAGCGCGCCGAGCAATTGCTCGTTCCTGTGCAAGAATGACGACACGGAGAACGTGAGGTTCATGAACGGGGTGCACGCATGGAGTCGGACCATCTTCTTGTCCGCGGCCGTGACATCCTGGACGCATTTTTGAATCTACGCAAGCAATAGGACGTCACACCATCGAAACGAGAGTCGGGAATAGAGGGGTAGTGTACGAGATTGTATGTGTCTTTGTTCCACTTGCGCAACTTGCCCGAGTTGTCGAGCGGCGCGGCGAGATCCATTAGCGTCTTGCTGACCTCCAGGCTTTTCGTCCCAACAGTATGGTTATACTTGTGCAGCATGCGAAACACGTCGTCCATGCACGTCTTGGATATTTCGTCCGGCTGCATCGACGCCACGTGCGCGTCGTTGAGCAAGTGTTGGGACATGGCAGCGTGCGAGGCGGCGCTCGACTCGAGGTACTTGCGAAGGTGTTTGCGGACCGCGGCGCCCTTCTCCACGCGTGCATACACGCTCACGTAAGGAACCTGACGAAAGCTCATGTTTCCGTCTCCACCATGGGGCGGCGGTGGCCGTTCGCCAAGCATCAGCGGCGGTTGGGACACCCGCGACATCGATGCGTGATATTGCAAATGAATGTTGCACCCCTCCAGCATTAAATCAAGTATACTAACTCCAAGTCAAGAGGTACTCGTTTGTGCAAATAGAATTCTAGCTCGACATACGAATTAGTTGGAAAGGATATTTGTGAAAATGACAAGGATCCAAAATATCAAATCCATCGAAGTCAGCACGGCATGAACAAGACGGGCAGGCTTTGAATGCATCTATGTTCGCTGCCACTTAACTTCTCTAATACAGCAATATGGCAGCAGCAAACTCGAGAATGTTTGAATGGTTGGTGAGGATTCCATTCCATTATGAAAAGATTCTTTGATATGCCGAGGAAACTATTCTCAACGCTGAATATTTATGGTGTATTGGAAAGATGGTCATGAAGTCACGTCGATAAAGGAAACTACTGGGAAGATAATCTTGAAAATTTCCAAATATATTCGCTAGGATTTACTGTTAATTCACTTTGCATCTAACCCGCGCACTGCGGCGATGAGCTGGAATCCGAGCAATCCTTGGAGCGATCCTGTGCATTGCCATGAGTTTGACTTCCTTCCACCTGTCGACGACTCGATCTTCGACGAGATCCTGTCGACGAGCGTGGACCACGACTCGACGTCATCTGACCCACCAAGTTCCGGGCCCAAGCGGCGACGTCGAACCCGCACATATCGGACGGAGCTCCTGTCGCTCCATGAGACAAAGGCCGAGTTGGAAAAGGCAGTCCAAGATCTCGAGCAACGACGGCGTGAACGCGCGACGACATTGTCACGCAGCGAGCGCAAGTGGGAGCAGATTGCACGTAACCAACTCGAACTCATGCTCAAGGTGCTGAGGGAGAACGAAGAACTCCGTGCAGCTGTGAAGGAACAGCACCAATTGTCTCTAGAACTGGAAGCCATCGTGTGCAAGAAACCTCGGAGCATGGTACTCGAACCCGGCGCAGAAATTCATTCAAGCGTCGCGCTCGCGTAGATCATAAAGATGGACGACGACAAGTGGCGAGTGCTCAAGCTCAGTGCCCACGCAGAGAAGCGCCTGGCTGCCATCCACCTGATCGCAAATCGGCAGCTGGACATGATTGAAAGCGAAATGATCACGACAGGACTCATGTGTGCCACGGACAAGACGTTCATCGTGCGGCCGAGTCGGTCGACCGGGCCCGACTTGTTTGTCGAAGGCATGACGTGCGTGCATTTTCCAAATCCTACGTACGCCGTAGCAAACGCCGCGTGGAAGGCTCTGAACCACATCCATGCCAATGCCAAGTCGTCGAACCTGCCTTCCCGCGTGCATGTACGATATTTCATCGAGCGCAGCAATGTTTTACGTTGGACGCGTAGTCGTTTGCGATCGATCAAGACACAGTGTTTATTCGCGTCGCCTTCCAAGCCGTCGACGGCCCGACCAAGGTCGAATCATGCGTCATACTGAAGAAACAACTCGTGCATGGGAACCACTTTCGCATGGTGTTCCGCACCGTGTTGGACGACGAAGCGGATCCGTTCGACGAGGACAGCTTTGTCAGCGATCTCTTTGGATGGTACGACTCGTGGTCAAGGACGCCGTTGTAATGGACTTTGGCGGCAGGATCGACATTGAACAGACCGAGGACGGCGCAACGACGCAGTACAAGAGCTTCGCCAACGCCAAGCTTCTGCTGAACCCTCGGCGTGATGACTCGAGTACGGCAGAAGTGTTGGCGCTCATCGAGAGCTTGCATTTCGACGAACGAGCGCCGTTCACACTCAGCGACGAAAATCCCACCAAGTTGTCGGAACTCATCTTTCGCGCGTCCAATGCGACCTTCCTCGACCTGTTGGAAGCGTATTTGCAAGCAGAGAGCGGTAGCGAGTAAAGAGAGACCAATGGAAAGCGCCACCGATGACAGTCTTGGAGTGGATGGCGCCGAGTGAAGGATCGAAACTGGAAGTGCCATACCGCACTCGATGCCACCTAGGTAAGGATCTATTGCTGTATCCTTGCAGGACCCCGACCATTAGCCGTGGGCACCACCGCATCCCAAACCTTCCGTGATAAAACGTCACGATATGGGGAGCGTCTGCCTTGAACCGCAATCTTCATGCAGAAATCGCGGCCGTGAGCTGCCGATGATGACGTGTCAACGTGGCACAAACAGATGAATTCCACGCTGTGCGACCAAGTCCACCACGGCCTCTTGGCGCCAGGTCTTTCACGCCAATGCCCCATCGCTCTTGTGCTGTAACCTCCCAGCTGCGAACGTACTCCAGTCGTCGAGCGAACCGACGAAACGATCGCGTTGCTTGGGTTGCGGTCGACCAGAACAAAGGTGATCCCTCCAGCGCGACGACACTTTTCGACCACCAATCAAAACGCACCAAACGTTTCATCGGCCAATCAAATGCATTTCTGCCTAACGCGCTTGAATCGACCGACAATGTAACGCAGATGCCCGCGAGCGCCGAACTCGGCTCGCATGCCACAAACTACTGCCAACCCCGGAGTACATATTTCCGCATGAAGAAGGTCATGACTTTGGTGGCCGGAGCATGCATCCCTCTGCCTGATCCTAGCGTCACATTCGCTGTTGTAAAGTAGTGGTCGTGGTTGAGGCCGGGATCGCAGTGCTGTTCGGGACCGGCGCGTTCGGCTCCAATAGCTCGTCGTCGACGGAAGCCTCAAAGGTTTCTGCGAACACGACAATCCCTGCGCCGACTACGACCAGTGTGCCCGCCAGCAGTCTCGTAAACTCTTCTGGCGTGGTCGCGACCACCGACATACCGTTGAACGCCGTTCGCGAGGGCTACAAAGACCGTTCGTTGACGTGCGCTCCCGTCGCACCAGGCAAGCGCATTGTTCAGTTCTGGTACACCGAAGAGGATGGCAGTGAATTGGTACGGCGTTCTCTCTCAGCGCCGTGCTTCGTCCTTTCTAGACACAGCTGCAGCATGGCGTAACACACATCATGCTTGCGTTTTCCGAAGTGCAAAGGGGGCTGGTCAACCAAACGTTCCTGAGGCCAGATGCGAAAATTCAAAAGTGCATTGGCGCGTGGCGCAAGTCAGTCCCATCCTGTCCTCCCTCGAGATGGGTTCCTTGACGTGCATGTACGTTCTTGGGAGCATCGGCGGCGCTCGGTTCGAGTTGCTGAAGATCACCAAGTATGCCGCGTTCGTGACGACAACGATGGCATGGATCGACAAGTTCAAATTGGACGGGATCGACCTTGACGAAGAAAATGAAGTGCCGGCAGCCAAGTCCTCGCGTACAATGCGCCTGCTTTTCAAACCGATGAAGTCACCGCCCAACGATTAACCTACGACACGAAGTCGAAGCGTTCTGCCCCAAGCCCCCCGGCCATGCGGTGCTACATGTCCGAGCTGGCCAACCTGACCGACTGGATCAACGTCATGGTTACAATGTCGCCGACTACTTTGCGCCCCATGCCCACGTAGGCATCGATCTCTGGGTGGAGGATATCGGACTCGAGTCTGATATGATACACAGCTGCCGTACAAAATGTATGAACAAAGCGCTGCAATCGGGCAAAGTCATGTTGAGATGGCCGACCGTTGTCCCTGCCGACAAGCTCGCGATGGGCATTTGCATCGGCAAAGGTTGCAATGATGGCCCTGGCCCATCCCGCCAAGTCATGTCGTCGTGGGCGAAGTTCTTCAAGACCGCCGCCGGTGGCATGACGATGTGGACGGCCAACCTGGACTCTCGTCGTCGTACAACGCCACCAAGTGGCTCAATCGAGACATCAATCCACGTTGTTTTCATCCAGAACGGGATTGCCTCGTGGCTGCGCGGCGCACAAGGCATTCCCCACCACCTCGTGCCGCCATTCCCGCGTCGACCTGCACGAGGAAAAATGGGCGATTCACGCTGGCGGCATGCACATGACCTGCTTTTCTGGCAACCCGCGTCGTTCTCGTCCACACTCTCACCGACGGACCTTTCACAAAGGTGTTCATGCAGCCGCGACGTTGGCGATCTCAAGTGTTTTTGGACACCGAAAGGGACGACGCGAGCTCGTGGCAAGTGTCTGCTACATGGCGCCACAAACGAACCATGGTGGGAACGACCGCGACGGATGGTACGACTTTATCGTGGAGACGTTAGACTCTGTCGAGATTGAAGATGGACCTCCCTGCTCCATGGACGTCGCCGTCGTTGTCGGCCGTGTCGGTGTAGAAATGGATGGACGTGTCGCCGCCGTGACTGGATTTGGCGGCTTTCCCAGTTGGCGCGAACGCCATGACGGGCAATTCCAACATGAGCTCCGCCATCAAGTGATCGAAACTCAAGTGACAGTCGACGCCATCCACAAACGGAAACCAGAGTGTCCGAGAGAGACTGTACAACCTGGAAAAGTCGAGGCATTGGCCGCCCTCGACGACAGGAACGACGTGCGTCATGCATCGTGCAGCTCGACTCAGCAACCGCTTGAGTCCGTCGAGTGCGGCTTCGTCTTGGCTCCACGTCTGCCCCAGGACTACCACGACCGACGACGCAACATCCATCGACGTGGCGTCCCAGTCGTCTTGGAAATCCAGCGCCGCAATCGGGGCAGACGCCAACCGTGCCGCGTATCCACGGGTGGGCAGCGCGTCCACGATGCGCTCGAGCATCGACGTCTCTCGCGTGGTGTAGCACACAAACACGATCGGGTTGTCGGTGGTTGCGTTGCCGGTACGAATATGTGGACTTGCATGGTGCACGGAATTGGAACATGTCGTTGTCGTAGACGACGGCGGAGGAGCCAACGGCTGCATCTGCGGCGATGGCGGGGACGACTGCAGCGAAGGTAGTGCAACGACTGCATTCGACTGCTTGGTGTGCATAGCTTGGCGGATGACGGTCAAGACGTGGTCAGGGATCACGGGATTCTTCGGATCAAAAGATTCGAACGGGAGGATATGCTCAGGCGGCACATAGCGCTCGACGTCGCTTGACATGCCATGGCGGTCCACGACCAGAACGACCGCTACACCATCACCGTCCATGAGCATTTTTTGCAAATCATACAGGTGGAGCTCGTACCAGGAGTTCGAGCGAGCCGTGCGAACGCCAATTCTTTCAAACACCACTCGGATCGAGAATATCCATCGCAGACGACGGCGACCACGACCTTGGCGTGGAAGATGCCGCGGGCGATTTCTTCGCGCCAGACAGCTCCGCCGCCGATCCCGGATGGATCCATTGTATCCATCCAGCACGTCATGCGTGCATGTTCAGACAAGTAGTCGCGCACGCCTTTGGCCAACGACGAGTGCGCGTGGGTGTAACTAATCATCACGTCGCGAGCGCCAGCTTCCTTTTTCACGGCAAACTGGAGCTCTGTAGACGTGGTGCAATCGACGGCGCGGCGGCCTTCCATGTTGGTGGCTGTGATGTCGGCGCCGTTGCGGAGCAACGACACAGCAGTTGTTCGGTTTTCATTGATGAGGGCAATGTGGAGCGGAGTGTTGCCTTGGGCGTCTGTGTACGCAAGGTTCGCGCCAGCTTCGACCAGCGCAGACACGACTTTGGCACTCACGCCTTCTGCTCCAGCGGCAAAGTAGAGCACGGGCGATCCGTCGTAGTCTAGAGTGTTCGGATTCGCCTGCCCTTGCATCAATAGCACTTGGACCACCTCGAGGTGGTTGTTGCGGGCAGCCCAGTGCAATGGTGTTCGACCGTCGCGGTCTTTTGCTTCCGGGTTGGCTTTGTGCGCGAGGAGCCGAAGAACACACGCGGCACTGCCCGAGATGGCGGCCCAATGCAATGCCGTCCGTTTGTATATCCCAGTCACGAGCTCACCCAACGTGTCGGGGTCGACCCCTCGCCGCAAGAACGCGTCGAGTTTCGCTGCGTTGTTGGAGGCAGCGGCTGCATGCAGAGGCGTGAGCGCGACGTCGGATCCGTGCTCTTCCAACAGTGTTGACTGCGCCGTTCGGAAAGTCAAGACATTGCGTTGCTACAATCGGGCACACGTACAACGTTCAGAAGAAACGTGATGCGGAGTTATGAAGCGAGGACGGTCGAGCAACCTTTCCATACCAGTGGCGTCATGACGGAAGCACCTTGCGTCGCCACGTACAAGTGGTTCGTCTGGTGGGCCAGCAGCAATTTCATCACCTACAAACCACGAGGCAAGTAACGTCATGACGGCTGAGTCGATGTTGTGGAGTAGACGTCGAAGTCAACCTGCACGTGGTCGGCAAAGAATATCGCAGGTTTCACGGCAGCCTGCCAGTAGAACGATGCGCGTGGGAGCGTGTTGACGTTCGCGTGGTGCTTGAGCAGTGTTCGGACGGCTTCAATCTGGCCCTGCTGGACCGCGACATGGAGAGGCGGCACCAGCACGCTCAGAAACACCCACTCGTTGACCCCTTGCAGATAATCTTGTGTCGTCACCTGAGGAGGATCATGTCACCGACGTGCTACATGTACATTCGACGAGAGAACATGGGGGATGTTCGTACCAACAACCTCGTCCACTTGAAGAACAGCCCAAAGTTGAAATTCACACGGGCGACTTTGTCCAGCGCGTTGACGTCGAATCGAAACTTCAAAAAGAGCTCAATCATGGCGCAGTCACCACGGGCCACAGCCACATGCAGCGGGTTCTTGCGCGACGTGGCAAACGACCACAGCCACAATCGTGGTTCTATGCATGCGGTGGACAGTCACGTGCGATTCCAGCTTGTAATAGCATGGAATTGCACACGGGCACAAAGGCACTCAACACGCAGTCACTCTGGTGTACCGTGGTAGAGCTTTCGGACGGCGAATTCCCGACCGAGGAGTTGCTCGGCCCGGGTGAGCAACGATTCGGCGAGAGGGAGGTCGCCGGTCATAGCCGCTTTGAAGAGGTCGGTGCGCAGCTGTCGGATAATTTTATTCCGCCGGCCAAACGACGGCAACGTGAACAGCCTGTCGCATCCCCACAACAAAAAACGTGGTAAGTTGCCATTCATGGGCCGAAAGGAAAGGGTATCGGGAACAAGATGTACCGTTTGAGCCAGCCTTTGAGGTTGGCCGAGTGACGCGAGTCGTTGGCCGAGCCGATTTGGAGCTTGAGGTGCGTGCGAAAGAGGCAAAACATAGTGACCTGCCACCATATGAGTAGACCGCACGGCAGGATCGACCACAGCTTGAGGTATATCACGACGCGCGTGAGGGTGTCCGACGGCGCAAATACTTCGGCCGGACATGTCGGCACTTGGAACATTTTGAACGCCCACAAGAGGAACTGGATGATGTACACAACAAGCTGGCCGACGACGACAATCTCGCAGACTTGAAGAAAGGGACGGCGAATGACTTTGCGCGCTTTCGAGACGCGGTAGAGCCCACAATACGAAGGCAGGAGCGCCGGAATCACGAGAATCGCATTTGCCAGGGTCGAAATGGCCACGACGTGCGAGTATTTCGTGGCGTCGGCCAAGTTGGCGCACCAATGGTGCGTGGATGGAGCAATCTCATGCAGAACGACGCATGCTGTCGCGACTACGACCAACACCAGGCTCGACGAGATCAATCGAAACGCGAAGAACGAGTTCCGTAACAGGGACGCAAACGATCCTTCCGGCGTGCTACGGGCCTTCGTGTTTCGTCGACGCTGGACGTTTGATGCGCTGAGGTGTTCTGAATGAACCGGTGTGAGGGGTCGTGGCGATGGGTCATCTTTGTTTATGCGGAGCTGGTGGTCGTGATACGACCACGACGACCGTGTAGAGTTGTGGTTGATGTTTTCTTCTTCGGGAGAGAGTTCGTCGTGCGTATTGGCGCCAGGGTTTTCACCCGACAACGACATTGGGCCGTGCTGGATTCGCACTCCTTTGTCTGTCACGAGAAGGATATCTTCCGAACTGCTATGTGTAACCGAGTACAGACGCGGCACCGCAGGCGATGTGCATGGCGATTCCATACACGGCGCAATGGAATCTGCAAGAGGGTTGTGTTCACGGGCACGACGACGCTGCGTGGATTCATCTTGCGTCGAGGATGTGCCGCGATATTGTTGCTCGTTGACAACTACAGGTAGCGGCGACATGATTGGGGAGAAAGACGTCGCGCTCGTGGGCTCTCCTTCGTCGGATTCCTCGATGTTCTTCAGTCCTACGCGTCGTATCATCTAGGCACACGACGGCGGCGGCACGTCGACCGTCCAGCGGATGTGGTATGTGACGTGAGCACGAGGAAATTACAAATGAACTGAGCCTTTTACCTTAAAAAATGAACTAGAGCCCTTCGCTTTGAAATGTCTATTTAATCCATACAGATTATAAGTTAATTATAAAACAGTACCTTCCACAAGCTCTGTTTATGGTATTTTTGAACTAGGTCGACTCGGGCGAACGCGCCACCTTTGATGCGGCCAGTCATGGGCCGGGCGGACGCAGGCGGCTGGATGGAGAAGACAAGAAGGACGGGCATGACGACAACGATTCTCGTGTGGTGAGTGATCATGATCTTGGGAGAAGATGAAGTGAACGACGGAAGAAAGATTTGTCTCAGGGCGTGGCGCCGAGTTTGGGTTGCAGTGATGCAACGACTGTCACCTACCTTCCCATGCTGATTGAAAACCTCGAGTTGAACAAGTAGGTCGAGGGTGCATCCATAGGTCGGCAAGAAATTGCCCACAACAGACATCTTCACTTACTCCCCGGCGCATGGAACCGCTGCGCACGAGCTCAAACAACTACGCACCCCAGACTGATGACGTGCCGAGCATTCATGCCGGCATTGTTCATATTCAAAACTGGTATTCTCGCGGGCACAGGACAACGTGATATAAATAGCATCTCCTACGCGTCAACCACTCTTTCGTTCGCGGGTGACAGCATGACGAGCTCCTCGATCGCGGCAAAGCGATCCTTTCTATACTTCTGCAGGTCGACACTACACAGCTGATGGGTGTGGCGCTCCAGGTCAAGCAATTTGCTCATAAAGCCAACGTTGGGCGAGATCACGGGGCGCAAAGTCCGTGTATACTGCAACGCTTCCAGCACACTCATGCCATGCCGCTCGATGAGGTACACCAGAATAAAGGTTGCGCTTCGACTCATCCCATGCGAACAATGAACCTACGTCAGGATAGCTTCAACGAATCGATACAAGTTGTCGAGCGTACCAAACACGTCTGGCCCTTGTCCCTCGCATTCTCTACGTCGCCTTGTCAACCTCCAGAAGCAGATTTCGAGACGTAAACGTACGAATAAAGTGGACAACGACCGGAAAGTACTCGTCAATCGGTGACTCTGGATCGTCTGGCACAGGAACGCGGAGGTACTCCAGCGTATCTACCACATGTGAGTATATTAGAACGTGCCTACATGCTTCATGTAGACATAATCGCTGCTCCAGATCGCGCATGTACCATCAAAGAAGTTCGGAATGTCTTCTGTGCAATTGACGACATGTGTGATTCCAAGCGACTGGATGGCCATCAGGTCGTCCACGACGCCTCTTCCACCGACATATAGACCATCAAGAATCTTCGTCACGTCGTGCTGTACGGCAAAGGAACTCATGGTGTCATCGAGCCGCAGGCTCCTCTGCGCCGCGATTGGCATCGTGATCACGTGCCAGAACGAGCTGTCCTCTCGTCGCACGAATTTCGACTTTCGGTGCTTGGGCATTTTAGCCAATCACAAGACTCATTTCTTCGAAATAGGAGTTTTGAGCCAATCATATCGGTGGATTTTAGGTTGTTGCTAGTAGCTTTGCTGCATTGGGTTCCGCCAATGGCATTGCTCGAAACCCACGTCAACTGACTTGGGTGTGAGCTGTCCGAATCCCTCAAAATAAAATCGCAAAATTCGACAAATTCAAGATATTCAGAATTATGTTATAGTACTCGAGCACAGGACTGGGGCCAAATTGGTCAGAAAAATATGCGAGATTTGGTCGAGTAAATCCTGATATCGTCTTCGACTTAATGTGGGATATTTCGAAAAATGTTGTGTAATCGTACAGGCGGGTATTCTATGGAAAGCCATTGTACTACCTCTGATAGGTAATAAAGAGTTTAGCAAGTCTGGTTTCCTCACTTTTCAGACTTAAACTTCGTTTCGAATTTCGAAGACTGCAGACTTGGACCGAAACAAGTCCGAAAAGTGGAGTAGACTACAGACTTTTCACCCTGAAGTCTGCAAAGTGCGGACTCGTGCCCAAAGCCAATCAAATTGTGCCGCGACAGGTTGCACGCCTCGGCAACCTACCTCTGAACACATTGATTGACGATGAGCAAAGCCATGCACAAGCAGCTTGCTTGGAGCACGGACATTTGCCTGGCCTTGCTTCGCGAGGTTGTGCGCGTCGAGCCCTACGACTGCGAGTACGGCACATTCATTGCAAGATGGAAAGTCATCGCAGCTAGCCTGGCCACACTTTTCAAATGCGAGATTCCGTACCGGTCTGCACGAGACCATTACGAGTCGATGGTGGAGGCATTCAAGTCGACTGACAAGGTGCAATGATTGTGAGGCATCGGCAGCGAAGAGGTAGTCAACTAACAAGTTCAAATATTCCAGGACCTTGTGGACCGGTGAGCGGTGCCCGAAGAATTGAAGAAGTCGAAGAAAGACAAGGAGCAAAGACGGCGCGACTCTCTGGAGTCCACAGGGTCCCAACTGTGTCTTGAAGCAGAGCAGTGGGTAGCCAAGCGTCAACGGTCCGTGAGTTCAGTGGCCACCAAAAGAGAAGAACAAGATGCGGTGACACAGGAACTTCACGAATTTGAGAAGAAAAAGCATTCTGACGATCATTTGTATAGAATGGAGCGACTCGAGTTTGAAAGAGAGGAACAAAAGCTCCGTTTGGCACAAATGGCTGAGAACACTAAGCGAAACGAGCAACTTACGCGTCTCTTGTTAGAGATGGGAAAGTTAATGCAGGTTGTAGCCGAAAAATGAAAGTAATTGAACATGTTACTTTGTATATTTACATGTTTATATACAGGTACTCTTCCCATGATGGAGGTGACATGCCAAAATACACGCTATTGGTGTTCCGTCCTCGATCACAAGTTATGCAGGCGGTCAGTAGTACAGCGTCTTTATACATCTTGGAAATTAGACTT